CCATCAATATGAGAGCTCCCAGACTGGCCATAATATCGCCACCTAAGAGAGGTGTGGGGCTCTCACAAGGAGTGAGAGAAAATTAGATCTCCCCAGGTGCATCCCAGCGGGCGAGAAAAAAATCTGATTCTGGGCTGTCCAGTGATGCCCTTGACAACAGCACTGAGTCTGGACAGCTGGCCCCGGGGTGGAGAGAGGAACCAGGAAGGTGGAAGGAAATTGACTGGCACTCCCTCTATCTCGGGAATTACCCGAGGCTCTGGGTTCCCAACGGCAAGCTGTTCTGGGGAGCCACCATGAAGAGCTCCAGGTCCCATCAGACCCTGTCGGGGTGTAGGTCATCTGAGCCCTGGCAGATGGAGACGCTTGAGGGCATTCAGATTTCCGGTCCTCCTCCACAAGTAAGACAGGGCTTGTGGGGCTTTGATTTTGGCTGTCCCCTTTGAGGACATTCTGGCTTCCGGTGCCCTGGGCGGCACAGACGTGGCATCTGGTACCAGAGCCTCAGGGCTTATAAGGTCGCAACTAGGGCCTCAGAATTCTTTCTTAGCCTCTTCTCTTGTTCCTTACTCTCCTCTTGGTCCCGGTTGTAAAAGACCCAGTTACCAGCTCCTAAGAGCTCTTCTAAGCAGCTGACTTTTGCAGCTTTTTCCGAATATCCGGGGCTGACTGGATCACAGATTTGTCTTTGAGAATGATCTCAGCCTCAGGAGAATAGGGGGAGATAGCTGTATATTTAATGAGAGCCCCCCTCAACCCCTCTAAGAAGGCCGTCGTGTTTTCCTCTCGAGGTTTTAAAGATTTTCTTTATTTATTTGAGAGAGAGAGAATGAGAGACAGAGAGCACGAGAGGAAAGAGGGTCAGAGGGAGAAGCAGACCCCCCGCCGAGCAGGGAGCCCGATGCGGGACTCGATCCCGGGACTCCAGGATCATGACCTGAGCCGAAGGCAGTCGCTTAACAGCCTGAGCCACCCAGGCGCCTGAACCTTTGACCTTTTTAATCCCTCCAGAACGCAGGCCTGGAAGTGACCGAGGTACCAGTTTCTGAGGGGATCGTTAGGGTCCCAACTGGGGTCTTGGGAAGGGACAGCTTGGGCTCCAGTTGGGAAATGGAAGTCCCCCATGGGCCCACCTGTGCCCTGAAAATTAATCAGCTCTTCGTCCCTGTTCTCTCAGCGGTGGCCAGGAGCCCGCATTTCTCCACCTCAGAGAGGGTTTGATTGAACAGGAGCATTACCTCCTTCCAGGTTGATTCAAACACATAAGTGAAATTTTGGAAGGCTTCTATATATTTATCTGGGCTGTTGGAAAACTCCCCAAGGCCCCCCTTCATCTCTGGTCTTGCAACGACAAGGGCAATGTACCTGAGCCACAGTGACAGGTCCCCTTGGTCCTCCTCCAGGTCCTACATATTCTTGCAAGAGATAGAGCCCCCGAGCATCAGCAGGGGGTCCTGGGTAGGGCGGGCAGGTAAGGGCGCCTGATCTGAAATCTGGATAAATTGGTGGAGATCCTAGGGAAGATGGAGCGAGGAGCGGGAAATCCTCTGCGGACGCCATCTGCCTGTCTGCCTTTGGTGTAGGTGTGGTCTTCTTGCGTTCCTGTCCCCCAGTGTCCGGCCATGAACGAGAGCGGCCAGGAGGCTGGCCCAGGCCCTTATTTTCCCCTAAGGCCCAGAAACATTGCACATTGGGTACTTCTCCCCATTTCCCTCACGTTTGCAAAACCGGTCCAGTTGCAACAGGGTATTATAACCGATACGTCCCTCAGGCCGCCATGTCTCCTCCTCCTGTTTGTACTGTGGCCGTGCCTTGGAACAAAGGAAAGTAAGCTGCCTTTTCTTTAAGGTTTGTGGGCCAAACCGTTACAGTTATTCAGGAAGCAAAGGAGTACTGGCTTTGGTCAGGGGATTGCAATTGCCCGTCTCTAGGAAGAGCGGAAATGGCATCCCTTACCTCAGTTCCTCATAGTTGATCAGGAGGGCCTCTTCCCGATCCAGCGTCCTGGGGGCTTTGCGACCGGCAGGCAGGGCCGCGGTCTCTTCTGCGAGGCGCTAAGAGTCTCTCTTCCCGGGCTCTACCTCCAGGGAGCGACCCTGCTTGTCCTGACTCTTATTCTCTTTGCATTTCCCAGCCACGGGCCTCGAAGGATCCTGGCTGTGACCCAGTAAGGCTCCTTTAGTGGCGGGTGGGTGTGCCAGAATTTTCCTGGCCCGTTGAAAGTTGGCATGATGGGCCTGATAAAATTGCTCTGTCTGACAGACCCGTTTTAAGTGGTTAACAAAGGCCAATTTCTGGAGGCACAGGGCGGGCTGCCGGGGAAGGGGGAAACAGCCAAGGTAGAGGTCCGTTCCCTTGCCCTTCTCAGCAACACCTACTCAGATGTGTTCCGGCCAGACAGGGTCCATCTTAGGATGGTCGCAGCTGAGCAGAGGGGCGTGCACCTTGCCAAGTGTAATAAAATGGTCCCCGTGTGTCCCGGAGGCAATCCCTCCTGATGTCCAGCGAGCCTGATCCATACGGTGTGAGGATCTAGTGTCCGTCACACAAAAACAGCAAGCATGCTCAGTGGCTGGAGGGTCGCAGGTAGAACAGTGCCGGCGGGACCCCAATAAGGGAATTCAAGGTGTGTGGGGGGTGGAGGGGCTACTTCTAACAAGTTCTGGGCCAGATCCCGGAGGAGGCCACGTGTCTAAGTGTTCTGTCCACCTGACAGGGTAACGGGTGAAGGGGTAGGACTCAGAGGTGCCACCACAGACGGAGGGCAGAGGCAGAAGGCTGTTCCTCGCCGTAACGGGGAACTGTGGTTGCGATCCCTTGGAGGCCTCTGGCAAGAGGACGTCTGGGGGGACCTTCCCCGGGGATATTGCATTCCTTCCCCTTGAGGAGGGACCGGTGGGAGCCTACCACTCGAGACTTGAGGATGGCAGCCACGCTATGCACTCTGAGATGATGAGTGCCCATCATGTTGACTGTAACAGAGAGGAGAGACTCGGGGTCCACTACTCACGGTTAGAGGTCCTTGATGATGACCAGAGATCCTGGAGGAGCCCCCAAGAGTTTCAGGATTTTTTCTTACCCCAGCTTTCTAGTGCCCACGGTCCTCGGTCACGCCGCTCGGAGGAATGAAGAGGGAGACCAGACACAGAGTGGGGGGCAGCAAAGCAAAGTTTTAAGAGGATAGAATCAGCTCTTCACACGGAGAGGGGAGATCTGAGAGTAACCCCCTCCCACCCCCAGCAAGGACAGATTTTCTTTTATGCAGTTTTAGCTGGGGTTGTTGCAGCCCAGATCCTTCAAGATTTCTTCATGTCTTTGTCTGATTGGCCCCGGGGGAAGTTTTCCAGCAAGACTATCTTCCCCAGCCCAGCCCCCTGGGGTTGTTTTTCCTCCTTGGTATTCCGGGGAGGCCAGAGACTTGATAGGGATCTTACCCAGTGGCCTCAGGTCCTACTTGATTCCTCTTTGCCTGTCCCTCCCTCTATCTGTCCCTGCCATAATAGGATGCCAAGTTTGTGTTCCAGATGGACATTTGATCCTGCAGAGGAATCAAGGATACCCACATTTTGCTCACATGGGCTCATTAAAGCAAATTTGTCTTTTCTTCTTGCAAGGTGACTTCAATGTAGGGACTCTTGGGTCAAATGACAGATTTACAAACACCTTAGGCAAGCTTTTCTTTCTTCTGTACAGGGTTTGTCAGTATTCAACACCTTGCTATGCCAACAATGCGACTTAAAGGCACAGCTCTTTTTTTGATTAAGTGGGTGGCTCTGAAAAGAGCCTTTTGGTTTGGACAGGGGGTTTGAGGCGCACACTCTGCTAGACTCCTACTTGCCCTTGGCCTTGTGGTGGCTCTCGGTCTTCTTGGGCAGCAGCACGGCCTGGATGTTGGGCAGGACGCCGCCCTGCGCGATGGTGACGCGGCCCAGCAGCTTGTTGAGCTCCTCGTCGTTGCGGATGGCCAGCTGCAGGTGGCGCGGGATGATGCGCGTCTTCTTGTTGTCGCGCGCCGCGTTGCCCGCCAGCTCCAGGATCTCGGCCGTCAGGTACTCCAGCACGGCAGCCAGGTAGACGGGCGCGCCGGCGCCGACCCGCTCGGCGTAGTTGCCCTTGCGGAGCAGGCGGTGCACGCGGCCCACCGGGAACTGCAGGCCGGCCCGCGACGAGCGGGACTTGGCCTTGGCGCGGGCCTTGCCGCCTTGCTTGCCGCGTCCGGACATCACAGACTCGGAATGGGAGTGCCAAGACAAGAACACTATTCGTCTGGCAAGACAGACCTAACAGTGAAGTAGGTAGAAACGTCGCTGCTTTTATAGGCATTTCCTGGGGAGTAAGTCCGGTTGTCTGATTGGCTAGTAACAAGACTCAGTCAAGTAGCCAATAGAAAAGCTCTATTTCCATACCTCATTTGCATAGTTCGGCCCATGGATGACTGCCTTGCTGCTTGTCTTCCAATGAACTAAGACGCTGTCTGCATCCTTCATTAGCATAAAAGCTCTATAAGTAGCAGAGATTCGCTTTCTACCTTCATTTCACTTCGTGTGTTCTGAGGCTTTAAAATGCCTGAACCCGCCAAGTCGGCTCCGGCCCCGAAGAAGGGCTCCAAGAAGGCGGTGACCAAGGCGCAGAAGAAGGACGGCAAGAAGCGCAAGCGCAGCCGCAAGGAGAGCTACTCGGTGTACGTGTACAAGGTGCTGAAGCAGGTGCACCCCGACACGGGCATCTCGTCCAAGGCCATGGGCATCATGAACTCGTTCGTCAACGACATC